ATAGACAAGTGGGAGATCTGGCATCAAAGTTAGCATATTGTAGAATCTTACCAGGGGATTTACTACTTCTATAATAAGCTGTATCTCTACCAACATTAGTGCTAGGTAGACTTTTAAGAATCCTACTGGGTAGGACCTAGCGACAGGTAACGATACTTCTCTGTAAGGTGATAGCTCTCAGGCCTATGCCTACGCGATCTTGATAGTCCAGTCCTTTGACTACTATCGTATTCGCGCCTATCTTCTTATTCTTCTTCTTAGTCCTCGCCTAGGACTTAATCTCTTCTCGTGAGAGGAAAGACACTTCTCGGGTTTCTTAAGATAAATCTTAAAGAGCGTAAAGGTAGGTTTTATTGATAATAACTTAAAGGTAGGAAATAAACAAGAAGAACGTATGAAGAGCTCATACTCAGGGTCCTAGTGACCCTTTATATAGTCGCTCTTCACCTGGCGTGACTCACACCTCGCGTCACGCAAACCCTGTGACTCATAACCGTGAGTCATATGAAATCCATCAGACGACTCTTATGAGTCGCTGCACAACATGCCTAAACCAATCAAAACATAATAACCAAATCAGGTGCGCAACTCGCGTCACCTGAGTGAAACCCATGACTCATAGGTATGAGTCATGTGCGAAAATCATAACATCGTGTGACTCACAACTGTGAGTCACGAACTGATAAACATAATAACCTATGGCGCACTAGTGTGCGTCATGTGAAATCCTAACATACCTATTACTCGGAAATCCGAGCTATGTGAAATCTGCCTTGCTTAGTCACAGTTTGTGACATAGACATTCAATACACCATCGAAAATCCTGTATTGAGTAGAATCAGAGTACTGAGTATCAGATGCTGCATCTAAAGGATACTTGAGGAATCTGGCATCAAAGTCAGCACTTTATCAAAGTAAACATGACTTCCATAATAGGCGGCAGCTGCCCCAATATTGGCACCAGATAGACATTCAATATACTGTTAGAAAGCTGAGATCGAGTAGAATCAAGGTGCTCAGCCTCAGCCGCTATACTATAAGAATGCCCAAAGAACCTGACATCAAAGTTAGCACTTAACTAAACCTTTGCTAACTAGTAAAGACAGTAAAAACTACAAAGTGTAGAATGTAGGGAACTTGGAAAGGGGGAGGTGGTAGGGCAGAGGTAGTAGGAGGAACTCAGAGGTAGTAGTAGAGCGCTGGTAGAAGGGGAGCTAGTAGGGTAAGAACTGCCTAGGAGGTAGTAAAGGGAAAACAGCTGACAGCTATAATTATTACTAAGAATGTCAAGATAGTAATGACTTAGCATTATTTACTTAGGATACAATCTGGATGTCGATCTACCAAATCTAAGCTTCAGGAAGTATAGGATACAACCTGACTTAGTACTCAAGTATCAGATGTAACTAGACTTAGTACCAAGATACAAGATACACAGAATGTATGGGATACAGAATCCTCCTTGCTTGTATCAAAACATACTACCCATGCCTCTAACACAGGAATAATTTTTGTTAATAAATAATAATTCTAATATTTTCTTTGCTAATAGCTCTTTAACCACTTGTACTTATACCATATCCACAAAGTTTAACTTAGTATCTCATGGGAGTAATAGAGTATGAGTATGATACCTTAGAAAGAAAGATTGGCTTTCTTAGGTTTAGAGTAATAAGATATATGTGGAAAGAATGGATAAAGCTTCAAGATGTCAAACTTGGGTTTTCTATCACAGAAGAAGGATACCTGTAAGATAGAAACTAGAACAAAGCAAGTATATATCTAATTACATATATATAAAAGAGAGAAAAGACAGGTAAGAGGAAGGTAAGTATTCATATATGAAGTCTATTTCATCAGTAAAAATTATTCCTATATCAGAGGCATAGGTGATATGTCCTAATACAAGTAGTGAGGATTCTGTATCCCATGTGTCCTGTATGTCATATACCTAAATGTCAAGTCCAATTGTATCTAGTACTTAGATGCTAAGTCTGGTTGTATCCTGTACTTCCTAAAGCTTAGGTTTTGTAGGTCCAAATCCAGATTGTGTTTAAAGTAAACAACACTGAGTTATTACTATCCTGAGATTCTAAGTGATAATCACAGCTACTAGCCACTTCTCCTTTACTACCCTCCAGCTAGCTTCCATCCTGCTAGCTTTCCCCCTACCAGCTCCCTGTTACTACCTCTCTCCTCCTACCTCCCTCCTACTACCTCTCTCCTACTACCTCCTGCTTACCACCTCCCCCTTACCACCTTCTCTGCATTCTAGTCTTTATAGTTTCTATTAGCTTTGCCAGTTTACGAGTCACAGTTTTAGTCAAGTACTAACTTTGATACCAGATTTGGCAGGTGTTCCTAGGACATAGCAGCTAACACTTGGTACCTTGATTCTACTCAACGCAGGCTTTCCAATAGTATATTGAACATCTACCTGGCATCCATACTAGTGGAGCTACAGTCTATTATAAAATTAATATCTATCTTGATGAGGTTTTGACCAAGTACTTATTTTGACACCAGATTGCTTGGGTGTCCTTTAGGTGCAGCATCTAAGACTTAGCATCCTGGTTCTACTCAATACCAGCTTTCCAATGGTCTATTAAAAATCTACCTAGTACTAATATTGGAGAAGTTACAGCCTGTTATGGAAGTCATATTTACTCTGGTAAAGTACAAATTTTGATGTCAGATTCCTTGAGCAACCTTTAGGTACAGCATCCGATACTCAGCACCCTGGTTCTACTCAATGCAGGCTTTCCAACAGTATGTTGAACATCTATCTAGCCCTCATATTAGTAGAGCTACAGTCTGTTATAAAAGTTGTATCTATTCCGACAAGGTTTTGACCAAGTGCCAACTTTGATGCCAGATTTCTTGGATGTCCTTTAGGTACAGCATCTAATACTCAGTGCCCAGGGTCTACTTAATACAGACTTTCTAATAGTGTATTGAATGTCTACCTAGCGTCAATGTTGAAGGGAGTACAGTCTGTTATAGAAGTTATGTTTGCTCCAGTAAAGTACTGACTTTAATACCAGATTCCTTGGGCATTCTTTGGGTATAGTATCTAATACTCAGCCTCCTGGTTCTACTCGATACTAGCTTTCCAATAGTGTATTGAATGTCTACCCGGTATGCATATTAGGGGAACTATAGCCTATTATGGAAGTCACATGTACTCTAGTGAAGTGCTGACTTTGATGCCAGATTCCTCAGACATCCTTGGATACAGTATTTTATACTCAGCACTCAGGGTCTACTTGATACAGGCTTTCCAATGGTGTACTGAATATCTACCTAGTACCAATACTAGGAGAGCTACAGCCTATTATGGAAGTTATATTTACTCTGGTAAAGTACTGACTTTGACACCAGATTCCTCAGGCATCTATTAGGCACAGTATCTGATGCTTGGTGCCCTAGTTCTACTCAATACAAGTTATCTTGATGAAGTACTGACCATGCCACCAGATTCCTTGGACATTCTTTAGATACAGTATCTAATACTTATTACCCTAGTTCCACTTGAAGCATGCTTTCCAATAGTGTATTGAATGTCTACCTGGCACTAATACTAGTAGAGATATAATCTATTATAGAAGCAGTATGTTCCCTGGCAAGATTCTGTACTGTACTAACTTTGATGCCAGATCTCCTACTTGTCCATTAAACACAATACCTGATACTTTGCATCTTAAGTCTACTTGATCCTGGCTTCCCAACTATGTATTGAACATCTACTTAGTTCCAATATCCATAGAGTTATCATCTGGGATGTGGGAGCTCTTTGCTTAGCTCTCTGATTTATAGTATAGTATACTAGGAACTTAGAGCTTTTCTTTCTGTACTGTATATTATAAAACCAATTTGACTCTAAGTAATCTTTATTTGACACCTTTGAAATATATATAATAATATTATATGACTTAGGTCACAAGGTCCAGTCCATATATTGCATGCTGAAAATTTCATAGTGCTTATTTGTATTCTGAAAATAACCTCTGTATCTTATTGTATCTAGAGAATTCCAAGAGTACTCAGTTGCGTTCCAAGTTTTGATACCAAAAACCATTACATTCTGAGCCGCAGTTTGCATCCTTCACTTCCTGTACATCTGATGTACAGGATGTACAGGACACAAGCTTTTATTTTTGCTGATGCATATCAAGGCACCAGAGTAACCTTAATCATATACTAGGCTCTTGAACCTGATAGGTGAGTAATATAATAGGAAGTCTAAGCTTAGGAGATACCAGTATATCATTTTAGCCTTGACTTCAAAAAAGTATATTTTTATATACCAATAGTAGCACTTAAGAATAATAAAAGCTAGAGGAGTAGAATTGAAAGTAATGGTAGTTGAAATCAAAACTGTACTACAAAAGATAAAAACTAACTTGGAAAGTATAAGTCTCAATGTCTCCTGGACTAGGAGTTCCTCCATTCTACCTTTCTGAGACATTAAGATAGTAGTAAAAACATAATTGGAAGCAGCTTTAAGGAGATAATAAGAAATAGGGAGGCTAGGAGTAGGACATAATCCAGATGTCAGCAATTTAGAAATCAGGAATCAAATACATGAGACTAGTGTAGAGTGAGTCCAGTGAGCATACTAAACATAAGAGGATGAGAGCTGAAAGGTAGAACATAGAAACTGGATAAGGTAAGCAGTATAAGACCTCTGAGTAGTAAAGAAAACTGGAAGATTGCTTAAAACACAGTCATGATTGATGGGGAGGGGTGATCAGATATACTATAGTGTGCCAACAGGACTCCTTGTACAAAGAATAAGGGGTGGAGTTGTATCAGAGATCTGGATGCCCGGGATGTATCAGAGTATTGTGTCAGCAATCTGGACATCCAGGATGGGGCAGGGTATTGTATTAGTAATCTGGATGCCCAGGGTATAGCTGGGCATCTCAATGGATCCCAGGACACACAGGATACAAGGAATATAAAAGATAGTACAGGTAAATCCAAATGCAGTACTCAGGCACCAAAGGCAAGCAATTTTTGTTTTTCCTGATAGAGCAAGTTTCTAATATAAGTTTAACTACTTACTAAAGATTGTACTTAAGCTCTCCTACCTCCAACACAATCAACATCCTCTTAAGACCTTAATTGAATAAAGCTTCAACTTAATCATATTAAGTTTTACTATTTACTTTATTCTTTATATCTGTAAGTGCTGTATGTATGAAGTCTCAAGTTAGATGTAGTCATATCCTTAGAATCCATGTTCCTAAGAAAGCTTCTGTTATATTGAACACCTAATAAGATCAATAATACAACACCTTTAAGCTGTAATTGATACTAATAAGAGAGACCAACAAGATATTAATTTGTAAAATTCAGTTTTGTATACATTTTATCATCACACATGCACTCATAAGATATTACTCATAGCACTTCCCCATTTGGCAGTGGACCTGACTTTTTGCCAACACCAGAAATCTTCTCACCAGCTATCACTCAGATTTCCTAACTTGGTTTGGTTCATATACAAAGTGCCACCCCCGCATCTGGAAGTGGACCGTAATTTTATCAACCCCGTAGTACTGTTCATTGCCGGGCAGGGAGGGTTTACGGTAGCAGTGGCGGTGGTGGTAGTCAATACCCGATGGATTTGCGGTTTTGTACTCATACGTATCATGCTTGTACTGTACCCGTTTGTACTCGTACCGCACATGCATGGTGTGCCACCAGCCAGGGACGCTTGTGACGTCGTTTGTACTTGAGTGATAGATCACTCGACGCCTTAACATGGGAGGGTATAATGGTTCGCCCCTGTCCCCGTCCCCTGCGCCGTGAGGGTGCAATGTGCCAAACTGAGCCCAACATACCGGTACTGGCACGCTGGTTGAAATCACGAGAGGACTCGCACCCCACTTCCACCCGAGCGAACGGTTAATCCGAGTGTGATACCTGAACCACTCGAGTATCTCATAATAGTATTTCCAAGATACCATACCCCACCGCCCAGCATATCATTCCACCCCACTCCATATGATAGGTTCCCATAAAAGCCGTAGCCAATAGATAGAGAGAAGAAAAAGAGTATTATACAATTCAGTCGTTCCCCCCTCCCCATTCTACGCAAAACCAAGAAATTTCAACCTCCAACCTCCCACATCCCCCCAATACATCCAGCCACAATAATGATTATAACAATAGTAATAACAATAATAATAATACATCCCACCATTCCATCCCACAGGCACCAAATTTTTCACATACATACCAGAACCGGGGCATATCATAATACTGTAGTAATTTGCTTTATGCCAAACAAACCAGACCTATCGCAGCCAGACATGGAACCGCAACAACAAAAAAAGGAAAAAAAAAGTACTAAAAAAAGGGGGCGGGGGGCCTGAAAGTAGAGTGAGGTAAAGTAAAGTACGGTGTGGAAGACATCTTGCATAGCATCAACATAATGAATAGAAGATGAGAAGGCGGCTACAAGAAAAGGAGAAACGCAAATAGAAATGAAGGGGAAAAAATTTCATTACGCCTAGTTCCGGAGGAGTGAGTTGCTTGCTTGGGAATGTATGATGTTGACGGTTGAAAAGGTATGATAGATAGGTAAGTTTGTAGTAAGCAGCGCAGTATAATAGTGCGAGCGCGGTCAGGGAGGATAAAGAAAGAAACACATCAAAGAAGCCAAACTTCCAAATTTTGTTTAGGTTGGCTTTGATTTTTTTTAATTTTTTCGCAGGAAGGGGAAAAAATAAAATAATAGGAGGGGGAGGGGAACAACCCGAGCAAGCAGAACACGGAGGATAAGTGAAAGGAAAAGGAAGAACGATAATTATACATCAACGCCACACTCCTGAACGAATTTCCAGAGCATCTGGGTAAGGTGTGAGGGAAGTGTATAAAGATCAACGTGGAATTCACCTTCTGTTTCACAAAACAAAATTAATACAATTGACTTGATTAGCCTGATGGGAGGTAGGTGAGTAGGTAGACAGCACTCACGCTCTACGTCATTTTTAATATAAGTCTCGGGAGTCTTATTGTCGTGTACCATCTGAACGACCTGGAGAAGATGCTCCTCTTGAAGTTTTTGAAGGCCTTCTGCTAGCTTCTCCATGTCGAACTATTGCCGTGGAATTCGGGTCAGCACGTTGCAACCAGAAAAAAAAACAGATCGTCCTTTCATTTTTATATCGTGGAGTTCGATAGTGTACGCTGGGGGCCGCAAAGAAATGCCAAGGATGAGGAAACACTGACGGTACGTTCGCTCCGGCTCTTCTTCTTAGTTCTCTCTTCTCCATCATTCTTACGCTTGTCACGCTTGGAGACTCCGTTCTCCTCCGGCGCCGCAGTGTCTGCTCCAGGAACTGGGCCAGAGGCTGCCAGAGCCTTGACGAGGTTCGGTCTCGGATTATTGAAGGTCTAGTAAGGCCTCTCACATCAATTATACGATCAATCGCAATCACCGCCGGTAAGAGAAGAAAGTGAAGACTCACGATGGAGTGAACGGACTCGTATTTGTTCTTCTGGAAGTTAAGGTCGTGGCGAATGGAATGATCACCGCCCTTATCGATGGCATGGAGAACAACCTCCATATCGAATTCTCCCCAACCCTGCTCGGTGATTAAAAACGGTAGCTTCTTGACGACTATTTCCCACCACCAAACCTAAATTAGACAACTCTTTTTTCCTTCCTTTTTCATTTTTTCTCGCAGCATTTTTTTTTCGTACACAAAAGTTCATAAATTTCCCCGCGGTGCGACGAAGATATTGAAAAGGCGGGGCGAAAGGAACATACCCCTATTCGGATTGGCAAATGTCGGATGGAGCTTGTATGTCACCCTGTCGAATATATTCGCGGGTAGCTCCTCCCCTTTCTCCCCTTGGATGAACACACGAATAGACCACTCCCTCATCGGGAACCCCTCGTGGGCAGGCGCAACATCTGTCCTGCAGGGCAAAGGAACGAAGAAAAATAAAACCCATCAGTCAGGCGCAGCTCAGATGGAAGATTGAAACGGAAAGATACACATAAAGGGCCGCACATACAGTATTGATTGAGTTGTGACGAGCTTGATCTTTCTGGTAATCTTTGTTATAATAGGATGGTTAGTGCACATCGTTTGTTCGTTTGTTGCGCCTTGTTTTTTTTTTCCCTCCTCCGCATTCGGAGGAGCTAGAGAAGGCAAAGGTGGAGAGTAAAAAGGGAAGCTATCATACCTCAGTCATTGCGTAGATCTGTTGAGATACTTAAGGCTGCACAGCTTCAGACCGTGACTCGTCAATTTCAGGAAGAATCAGTGATGTTAAGACCGAGGTCAGTGGCTTTGACGGAGAGAGGTGTTGTTTCGTTCGATGCGAGTTGTGTGGGGGAAAAGGAAGGACCAGTGTTATTTGTTGTGAGGGAACGTCCGGGGGCTTGGCGTCTACCTATGTCACGTGATATTCCAGTCGCGCTTCCAGGGCTCCTAACTTAATCCAGGTCTGGTGGGCCGGCAGCACCTCCCGTCACTCGAAAACCGCCAAGACGAGAGAAGATGACAGTCTCTTCCCCCATAACCGTGTAAACATTTTGTCATCCCCGGCAACGTATAATTCCGGGGTCAAGACGTGTGGCTTATTCGGGAGTATGATAGGGCTTGGGAGCAATAGATTACCGGGACCCAAAGTATCCTACTCCCTCGAAGGAATCTCCTGCGGTTGCGCCTTATCTAAGAGCATGAAATTTTCTCAATATCCCACGGTAATTATATTGAGGCTTACTACAGCTAAATACAGCTATAGCTCCAATGGGCCCTGCTTCTCTGGCATAACAGTGCGGGAGAACTTTGGGGGTGTGAATGTGCGAATGCCCCACAAATGGACTTTTGAGAAATCGAGGCATTGTACCAGTTTCGGAGCCTCCTAACTAGGGCCAGCAGCCAATTGAAAAAATTTGCTGTGGGGGTGTTTACCCGCCCGCCCTCCCAAGGGTTTTTCACCACAGTTGTCTGTCCGTTTATTTATAATGATTCATCCTCAGAACACTTACCATATTCTGAAGTCCCTCAGGTCATCGCCATACATGTATGATAGTAGGAATGGGAAGTAAAGAAAAGCAAATATACCACTTAGAAGACATAGAATATGATTGAAAACAAAAAAACGAAAGAAAACAACTCCTGATAGACCTAACCGAGTCCCGTGCATCCCCCTAATCATGCCCAAGTCCTTTGTGTCTGAAGAGCTCCTATCCTATTCGCTTCCTACCCAACTGGGGAAAGAAAAAAAAATACTCCAGGAGCCGGACAAGTGAGCACAGAGAAACAAAGCAAGAACGAAGTGAAAGAGAAGAAGGAAAAGCCCCTAACTAATCACATACATGAACAATAAACCGAGAGGGTCCGTCGAAGTCCCCGCCGTTTCCACCTCTTCCAATTGAGAGAAAGCTGGAGGGAGAAATATTGAGACACAGCACGTTAAATAAAAAAAGCAGAAGGGCCGACCAACTAACCATACTGATGAAATTGAAAAAGGTAGACCATTTATCGGCCTAACCACCCGGCTCGCTTGGCGTCCTCTCTTTTTGCGGAAAGCTTCTCGGTTTCCTTCTCCCAGACAATCTTGGCCTGCTTCTGTGCCTTTTGCACGTATTCCGATTTGCTGACCGAGGGGAAGTAATGCTTTAGAGGGATAGATTTGGTTCCTTGGTAAAGCTTTGAAACACCATTTTTGATCTCCTTGGCTTTAGTAACCACAGCTTCCGTCACCTCCATAGCCTGCTTTCCTGCAATGTCGGTCAAGTCGTTTGCAATTTTGTCTGCTTCGATTATGGTCTGCTTCACTATGACCTGGATTTCCGCCTTTTTCTGTTCCGCCGCCTTAAGCCATCCCGAAAGCTTTAGCCAAGGGGACCCGAAGTCAACCTCCAATGTCTCGCTGATCAAAGGGGCGCTCCTGGTCGAAATCGAAATCTTCACTAATCCCCAAGCTTGTTCACTATCCAGCTCCAACGTGTATACGCCTTCCAGAGGTTTTGAGAGTTCGGAAGATATTTCCTCTCCGCCACGGGTGACTTCGACAAATAAAGTAGGCGGCTTTCGGAGTAGCAGATATTTTTGCGGGGGGCGTATGATAAGATGGTTATCTCCAATGACATGAACAGTGAATTGGTTAGATTGGTTCAGTATTGGAGAGTTCGGGTCGAAGACAAGACTAGATATATCGTTCTTGGGACCGCATGACGAGGTCGTGGCGATGCTCGAGGCATGTCGAACCGTGGTGGAGAGTGAGGTAATAACGGAGACCGCAGTAGGGGGCATTATGGTCGAGGCAGAGGTTATCTGGGTGACGACTTTTATGATTGGGGGGAGAGCTTCATCTGTGGCCACCGGTGATTTGAATTTCATGCAAGCAATGGCAAAGGTCGCTCCAGCTAGACCACACACGAATATCCAGCCCACGAGAAAAACTTTCCAGAGGTCTTCGCGTTTCTGGTCACGGACCCAATATAGGCTGCTCGAGGCGTTCAAAGTTGGCCGATGGGGTGCCTTTTCTACATCTCTCAGCAATGTGTCAGTGGAAACAATGGAGGACACAGAAGTTCGTAATCTGCCAACTGGGATCGGCGCATTCCCCCGATCGGATTTTGGAGAGATACCGGTAACGCAGGCCAAGTTGCGGTTCATCTGACGGACATCAAGATTGAGGAAGGTATTTAAATCAATAGGCAAACGCTTATGAACGAGGTGGCCATATTTCGAATCGGATTGCGACTCGAGACACATATGCACACTTCGTGTATCGAGGGTGTAATTCTCTGTGAGTTTGTGATAAAGGGGGTCTTGAGAAATCACAAGGGTTGGAACAGAGTGACGAGCCATGAAAGCTCTTGCGTATACTCGGGTCATCCTCCTCTGTGTATTATCGTCTTCCGAACAGAAAACAACTGCTAGGTGAGGCAATTTCCAACCAGGACTCTCAAGCTGGGGACCGTTGTCGCCATAAGACGACGACACGGATTGGTTACCATTCAGCCACAATGATAGAGTGTCTGGCCGACCGTCTCTCTTGGAGGCTCTGGCTGCGGTGCACACATCAACGGCCATTTCTACGCCAAAGGACTCCACAAGCTCGACCTCGGGTGAACTGCTGCGAGCACCAAAAGACGAGACAGGTATGACATTAAAACGCGAGCCCTTGGAGCTTTCCCACGAGCAGGAAGAGCTGGTTGATTCAGTGACAGGGACAGCTAGTGCACCGCCTAATTTCGTTGTTATCTCATCCTTCGCAGACGTAGCCCCGATATACAGGATGCGGAAAGGCTCCTCCATGACAAGTTGGTGCTTGCTCATGGTTTGCCGCACTGTGGCGAAAAGTTTAGCGGGGGGAGGTTCGTCAACCCTCAGGTGCTGGCTGATGTCCATGGAATCCGCTTCGTTGAATTCAATTACACGCGAGCTCACGGAGATCTGTTCACCAACGAAGTCTTCTGGTTCCTCGAAGACCACTTGTTCCGGGCCAAAACGTTCATCTTTGAGGGTCATTCTACTCTTATCGAGGTGCTGCTCATCAAGGCCACCGAATGCAGGAATGCCGGGGCTCGGATCGGAATGAGGAGAGTCATCTTGAAATTCAGCAAGAGACTCGCTATCCTCAATAGACATATTGTCTTCGCTGATGTTGTCCCTAAACGAGGTTATCGATGAAGTGTCGTCTTCGTCCTCAGAGATCTCAGTGGACATACTGAGCAACTCATAGGTACTCTCCTCCAGTGGGCCGCTGCCACCGTCTTCAGAGTGGGCCGGCATTTTGATTATCGGAGGCTCAACCGAACCGAAGGCTCGCACAGAATGAGGTCTAAGGGCACGCAGGAGTCCCGATGAGGTTACGGGAGTACGGTAGCAAGACAGAGGAAAAGTGGCGCCTTGTTTTGGTCAGCAACAAATAAATGACAACTCTGAGCGTGCAGCGTATTCCAGAAGGGGGGTGAACAGGGGGGAAGACGAGAGATTAGGGTGGAGTACCTTTGCTGCAACGTAACAAATGGGAGAGTAATAAATAAGTGAGAGCGAGAGAAGCTGGGAAGGAGGTTGAGGTTGTGTTAGGGTAGGGGAGAAATGGAGGGTTGAGTTGGTTGAGGTGGTGAGAGGAGGAGGGGCTTGCCTGTCTGTGTATGTGAACCTTTGGATTGATTGGTACGAGGCCTTCGTCCACTCGTAGACGGTTGGTTAGGGTTCCTCGGACTCAGTGGAGGTGAGCGCACAAAGGACTGCAACAGTGCTCGCTTCGCTGAGTCAACTGGTATTTAGAGAGGGAGAAATTGGCAGAATGTTTCCAGCGCACAGGGGGGAGTTTTGCTCATGTGTTTTGGCCGGCTGGGGGGGGGGGGGGAGAAACGCTGGACGGGGCGGTCAGGCACCGGGCAAAACGGAGTGGGGACTATCGCTTTATCCCTTTTTCCTCTCCCTTTTATTGAGCGAGGTGGACTATTTGATGAAAGGTTGGACAATGAATAGAGTTATCCCAAGATGGTAGCAAGCTCAGCAGCAGTATTAGCAGATTAGAGAGAGAACCAGCAGATGAGCGGAGGGTAATTTGTGGTGGGGGTGGAAAGTGGTGGTGAGTGGGGAGTTTGGAGAGGTAAATAAGACGAGAGGAGCAGAGGCGGGGTGGTTGTGGTGGGATGGATGGATGTGGATGTGGATGGCGTTCAGAGTCAGTTTTCCAACCCTGCTGTATGTATCATACTCGTGCTGTCCTCGTACTTGCACTAGTGCTCGTACAGTACCGTACGGTACTCGAGAGGCAAGTCTACTGCTTTATTGATCTTCGTCTCCCCTCTGATCTCAGCTCAGTGAGGTGCAATAGATGAGAGTGAGGCTTCCAGTCCGGTCTGCTGGTCTCCTGTTGCATACACAAACAGAGTACATCCAACTCTCTTGCCTGGTCTCTGTGGGCTCTGGAGGGGTAAAAAGTTACCTATTTGGGTTGCACAGCGTGTCACACCTTTCCCTATCTGGCTAGTATTCTGGGCGCCATGGGTAGGGGTTACTCGAGCACTGTAATTCTCTGGGACACCGCTCCGCTACGGGACGAGTATGATACTTCTCACTTCCCCCGCTGTGGGCGGGAACACGTTTCCACCTTCAGCGGACCCGGAAGACTTATTATATGAGTGGCATACGGCTCGTGGAAGTGGAAGGGGACAGCTTGCAGTCGGTCTATCTTGCCGTGGCTCACGAGTCCATGACTCCATGACTCCTCTGCTGTTGACTCGTGTCGTTCTTAAGTTAGAAATGCAACTGGCTCACGTGAATCGCCTTATTCACCCCACCAACCATCTGGTTCTCCCAGTCACAACAGTCTTTAACAGTGACGGGGATACCGCGCTAGGTTACAGTTGAGGCTCTTAGAGTTATTGTGTGAGCAAATGATGTCTTGTGCCCGAGCATCGCGATGCCACAGCCTGCAACCTGAACCATACGATCCAAGTTGATATCTTAATGTAATCCGAAGGCATATTTCACGGGTATTATATGCCCCCTCATCCTACTTCGGCTTCCCCGCACCTTCCTCTCTCCTGGGTCCCGAGCCTAAGACCTCGGATCCAATGATACTTGTACCACACAGTTTTGGCCGTAATATCTGTTCTTGAATCGATATTGATGCCATATGTATGAACATTCAGGGCGATGTACCGGTAATTAAATTCATGTCATGTGTTTTGTTTATCAAAGCCCATTATTTTTATTATTTTTATTTGAATTCGCCAGCCCTTTCTTGTGCCAGCGATTTAGACGTAGTATTATACAGTACAGCATCACCGAACATCACCCCACGAAGAAGAAAAAGTGGACACCCCATAATCGCTAGGTAAACCGACCCGTTCCATTCCCACCTCTATAAGCTCTCGTGACTAACCTGTTGTTTCCCCTCCTCTGAAGATAAGCCACTCCGCCCCTGTTCCCGCCGCTGCGAAGAACCACCTATTGGAACCGAGGAAACCCCCGAGGCCCCCCTCCCCCCTCCCCCCTCTCATCCCCATTGCATTTCCAAGTTTAAAATATGAGAAAAGAAGTTAAAATAAAGACCCGAAGAAAAAATGGGAAAACAAAGGACATCCCTGCAGAGATTCGCAACCTTGCCAAGATCCACAGAACTGCATCCGACACCAGCATCAAGGTAGAAAACAGAGCAAGATTAACAATTCCACCACTATACATATAAGGGAGAAGAGAATTCGTGCAGCGATTCTTACAACAACCGAACCGCAAATGAATGGAGATTATTTAAAAAGTGGTAGGCATGGGTAAAGAGAGTGAAAGGAATATAGTGAAATACCGAAAAGAAAGAAGCACAGAAAATCGTCGTGGACAACACTTGACAAACCAAAAAGAGAAAAGGACGGCAAACAGGCTCCGGATGCAGTTGTAATCCCGGTCTTAGCTCCCCAAGTGACGCATGGTAAGGGGCCGCTTGAGATCATTCCATCATTTCCATCATGCGGAAATCCATCCGCCAGCAACATTAACCCACTCAGACAGACAGCTGCCCTGTTTGCCCTCAACATCAACAATGTCGGTGTCGCATCTGCATCGGCACCCAACACCGTTCTCCTTCTCCGAGTCCCAGTTTTCCCAATAATCGTCTTCCTCCTTTGCCTTTTTGGGATCGGTAGTTGTCTTCTCGACCCACTTGGGCCTTGGAAGCTGTCTTGCTGGGGCATTAGCTGGACAATGCTGGATTGTAGTATGTCGGTATCCAAAGTCACGGAAATAGTGAATATCGGATGGCTCAAGAAGTACACCGGTTGCTAGAGAATGGATGGGAGCATCTCCCCACTGTAAAGATGGTCAAGTCAGCAAAAGGGAAACCGGGTTTGTGGAACTACTGGCGGGCATACCCTTTCGGTCCAGAAACCGCCGCTTCTATCCATAGTCTCAAAGAACTTCTCGTACTTCTCGCTCCGGAAGAAATCTAGTCTAGCAATTTCAAAATTGCTCCAGAAATGGCACATATTGTAGGCCTCTCCCTCCATGGCATCACCATCCACAACGGGCCATTTCTCACCAGCAGTGTTGACATTATCAAGTGTGGGCTCTTCTCTTCCCTCCTGTTGTGGATTGTTGGGGTCTTGTCTCGGCTCTGAAAACATTGACCAAAGACCTGTGGTTGGAAGGTTGTTGTTCCTCTTGTACGCAGATGCATATCGAAAGATGTTAGGAACAGTTTCTTTCAGCTCCTTGACAGCAATGGTAAATCCGTATGTCTTATTCTGTCGTTGCATGTGGAGAAATGGGTCGCTAAAGGTCCCGGTAAGTACCGGACGATTAGGCTTGGGGGGCTCGTTACATACTAGGTAATATCGCAGAAGTACTTGATCTCGGGCTCCAATCTCCAGTACCATTCATACTTGGCGAGTAGCTCATGCTTGTAGAAGAAGCTGGTACGGAATAGATGTCAGAATAATATGAGTGGAAACTTGGAGGCACAACCGAAGAGGAAATATTTATACCCGGAATAAAAACGGCACATGTGATGGTAACTGGCCATACCACCGTACATGATAGCAGCATCTCCCTGTTTCGCAATTGACTCGGTGGCCTCATCTTTATCAACCCAATCCGGGAAACCCCACATCGTCTTCGGGATCGATCCAAATTCTACCGTTCCGCTGGTGTAATTGATGATGGTCGACTTGAAGGTCTCATTGAACTCCTCGTCATTGAGAAACACATACGGATAGTTATACCAGCGGTTGAAATGGCGTTCTATCGATTTTACCGATTGGATGACGCCCTCTAACTCGCTATTCCTAGCCAACACAACGAATGCTGCATTTACTCGAGGAGTGTCCGTTACTGGTTCTAAACATCCGACGACGAAGGGCTTATCATAAATTTCCGAAATTCTTCTGCAAAAGACAGTTAAATTCGGAGCGCGGTCAATTGTTTCTTGACGGCGGGATCGGAATGAAATATTACCTTATTGCGGGAGGAGAGCCCGAAGGGATCAAGATTGAAGTACGATTATCCGGATGCCGAGAGAACAAAAGCATTATGAGTAAGATCACCGTCACTGGGAACAACAACACGACTCCCAGCGGTATGGATATCGATGAATTTCCTTTTAACCGTATACGCCGCCGCAGAAATGATAACCGAGACGGAAGGCGGCCCCTAGAAATATCTTCAAGCGAAGGAATGGCACCTTTCGAAGGAATCCGCCGAACGAGCTGACTTACCAGCCCCATGGTAGGCAATCGGTAAAAAAAGGGGAAGGCGAAAGATTGAAGCAAGGTAAATGGAAACTATATATGGCGGGGAAGTCGGCAGCAGGTGTCGAATAAAAGATGGCCGTCCGTGATGGGATGGTGCGGTAAGAAACGAAGGCGATTTGCAGGTAAAGGTAAGCCTTTTCGGGGGGGAAAGCGCTCCTGAAAAAAATCTCCGTAACTTTCGCTGTGAACGGGAATGAAACGAACACTTGACTAAGTATAAAGTGAAAATTCCTCAGGGGGACTGGAAGGAGGCAGCGAAAGAAGGTGGAAAAAGACCAGCGTCCCGGACTGGTTGAAGGAGAGGTGCCCGATGGTTCTGGGGAGAGAATGGGGGAAGGGAGAGAGTCTGCAATCTCAGCAGAAGAAAATCCAGCGCTGCCGGTCTTTAGGGGAAAGGAGCGAAGGTGTTGAGGCGAGAGGCAAGCAAAACCTTACGGAGGATGAATCGGGTTAGCCTCCCCAAGCTCCTCTGTTGCCGCCAAGATCTGCAAGGTATGTGCGGTAGAAAAAGGAATGTACTCGAGTTCGGTGTCTTAAAAAAGAACGGACTGACAAAGGATGATTGCCACTTCTTTTTGAGAAGCGCGGTTTGGAAAGGATTTAGCGCGCAGGAAAACAAGAGGGGGTCTGTAACGTGCGTTTGCTTGTTTTCTCCTCTATTTTGCGCTGTGCCTTGTTGTCAGGAGGAGAGGAAAAGTAAATAGAGCGCCTGGGATACACTCCGACCTCAACACGTATTATCACTCGGTCTTGGCTCAAGGGGCATGGCTTTAATCAGGGCTGTCCTATCTACTCGTAGGCTTTGGCGGGGCGGACACTGATAGATATCCAAGCCTTTCCCATATGTATCATAAATGCCTTGCTTTGCTATAGAAGCTCCTTGGCCTAGCTGACAGGATGAAAACAACATTACGCTTCCTACACTTCGCGCCAGGGACGATATATGGTTGATTGTTGGTAGGGTGCGGGTGGTTTTGGTGAGATGGGTCTATTGAATGGGACTGAAATTGGCTATAGTATAAACGGCCAGAGAATATGATCAACACAAATCATTATTATTTTCATTTTGGTAAAAACGCCCGTTGTAACCATATTAGAAGATTTTCCCTCCCCCTTTTTAGGTGGTAGACGTAACACCTTATGTCTCTGGTTCTCCCGAGTTAACGCGTGACTCCGGCGGTGGGCTTTTTGCCTGCATAGTCACGTAAGTCTTAGATGGTAGGTTGCTATAAACGAAAGATAGGAGGAGCAAGCTTGCCAGACTTAGCGGACCCCATGATAAACAGCGACGTTCCATAATCCCGGGCATCGGGTTTGTCACCTCCCGGGGCGGGCTATCCACCACAGGACTGAGCGCAATTCGGGCCGGCACCGTGGGTGGATTCGCAACTCTCTCGTAGTTGCCGGCGGCATCAATACTTCCACCTCTCTTTCCCGGAAAAGTAGCAGCCCTCCTTCTGATGAAAAATGCGTTCTCGGGTGGATGATCACTCGATTCGAGCAGTTCTGTTGCTCCCGGGCTTGAAGGGTCAGATTCCCATTCTGGTTTAGCCGCCGCTCTTTCTTCGGGATCTTCATATACGTCAAATGTGCTAGTGGTAAAATGGTCGGGGAGTTTGCTGCGCTGGCGGGGGCGGGTATTTGGAACCGTTGCAGCATGGGGGGTACCTCCGCGGCCATACATACTTAGGCGAGAGAGGGCCTCTGCAAGGTCGGGGTCGCTCTTTTTAAGAGTCCCGGTGCGCTTTGATTCTGCGGGGCGTGTGCGGACAGTTACCCCATTGGAGGAAATGTAGAAGTCTGTTTGACCGCTCTCCCAAAGGGGTGTCGAGGCTTCGACCAACCAGAGGGGAAGGTTTTCTTTATTTCCTTCCGAGACATCTTGTATTGGAGCGTTCGGCATGCCGGGCATTACGATAACTTGGTTGCTGTTGAACATTGGAGGTGTGCAAAAGGAAGGCGGAGTGGAGGGGGATGATAGAATATAAGCCTACCTAGTGAGGACGAGGCTACCGACATATGTGATGGCTGTAGGGTGCTACTGAGAGGTTGTGTTGGAGATAGTCTGGGCTATAGGGTAGGTTGCGTTCATTGCGCTGATAAATTTTATATCATATGTTCGCCGGGTTAGAGGGTTGAAGGAGAGATGAGGGTTAGGGAATTAAGGCTCCGTCAAGGGTAAACACGTAACAGATGATTGGAAGTAAACATTATGCATAATATCGTAATTATTTGGGGGTGCACTTGTTTTCCATGTCCTAACAAGGTCGGTACCAAGGAGAAGCACTTTGGCTTGAGTGAGATACTATGATTCATGCTAAGATTTTAATTTGGATTATCATGACCCTTCTGCGGCAACAGCGCGTGTCGCTGGGGTCTGCCGCAAGAGGAAAGAGGAGAGGGGAAGGAAGGAGGGAGGGAAGGCCCAAAAGCGAGTCTGAACACGTTGGTGGTATCACACTCGGGTGCATACTGGTAAATTTATATTTAATAATAGAGTCCTCTCAATATAATTTTCGTGATGGATTGGATTATTAGGATGCATTCGCGGAATGTGCAACCCCTCCCACGCGTCTGTTGTACGGCTCCGGCCAGGGGACAGGATTGGCAGCTGGGCGGATCTCCAAGCTCGACAATATCCCGCCAAGACTTTATTCAACACAGCCGGCTGGTCTTCGGTTCTGCGCACTAATTCAACAACTTCTTTCAACGTCATCTTCCAGAAAAGAAAGCTCTCGCGGTTGAGCTCCTCAAGCAAACATGTCTAAAGGCCCCAGAAGCCTCACATACGGTATCCCCGATTCTCCCTCTCGCGGAGTGCTCAATCGATGCTAATACCACGCTACAGAAATGGAGGAACCCGCCTTCCTCCGGCGGCTCCGACAACAGCATTCCGGCACCGGCGGCCCGGAACGATATATTGCACCGCGGAACAAAAAACGACCTACGGATGAAGATGAAGATGCACCTACGTATGTGCTTGACGAAGGGTCTGGAGAGACACTGTCGAGGAAGGAGTTTGAGGCTATGAATAATGGGGAAGTCGTAGGAGGGATGGAAGGGGAAGAGGAGAGCGGTATCAAAATGCCCGGGGAAAAGGAGCCTGCGGCCGAGAGGGAGAACATCACAGAGATTGGTGGGAAGGGGAAGAGGCGGAAGGTTGCAAGGATAATTGGTGATGGCGATGACGATGACGCTATGCAGAAGGATGAGAATAATGACAAGGGGAGCGGGAAGGAAGAAACCGAAAAGAAAAAGAAAGGAAGGGCGGGTGGGAGAGCCAAAAAAGCGGTCAAATTGTCTTTCGACCATGACGAGTGATTCCGTTGGGGGTCCGAAACCTCAAAGTTCGATTCTTCAATTCTCCCTGGTTAATTACTCGCGCAGGCTAAATGTTATCATTTCTTGGGACGCCCAATGGGCTCGAGCTGTGGGTTGCGATCTGGAGAGACTCCTGCGTTAAGATAGTCGGAGCCGCTTGTATGGGTCTCCTGATGGATCCATTGAGGGTTGTCAGCGAGAGCATTTGCTGTACTCGTACTGGAGATTAGTTGCGTTTGAGAGGATTGCGGAGGATTGCGGTAGTTTATAGAACCGCGGCTGATTATGGGAGGTCGGATTTCGAACGCAAGGCTTTCTCGGGGGCACCGCAATGACCAAAGCTGGTTGTGCCCAGCTACTGTCAGGAGGTTACGGTGAGTCGAGTGAAAGCCAAGAGCCACCAGGCTGTCTCTCATTAGGTTATGTATTAGGCCGTGCTGGACTTCTTGTCTTCGTCAACGGGAGACCTACCGCTATGGCGCCGGCATCTAAGGCCGGGGGGCCTGGGATGTCTCCGGACGTCTGCTCCGCTACGCAATTGCTTAAGGAATGCTGTAAATCTGAGACGCACGAAGAATTGTTCTGGGAAAAGTGACCCAATAACGCATCCACTGTCCATTCTTGATCCTGGCGTCTGGTAAAAATGTCGACCGGGTATATCATAGTGCACTTGCACTTTTTTTTGCTCGTTTTTGCTCGGGTACTCGAATGCTTTGCCACGCTGCTTCGTGTTATAGGCAAGGTATTAGTTTGTAGAGCCCACTCGAGTACAGGTGGGTTGGCTCTACGAGTACTGTACGTTTCTGTGCGAATAGTAACTCACTTTTCCGCGAAGCCTGCATAATATACCGTGTATAGTACCGGTATCTCATAATCTATTCTACGTAGGGTGCTTGTACTGTACTCAAACCCTCTGCGGCCGCACCGCGGACACGGCTGGTTGGTGTCTACTCTATTATATATCCCTGCGCTGCGCTGCGTGATTTGTGGGCCTTAAATTACGACGAACTGCGATCCTGAAACCACGTGGTCATCCTGACTTTAGCCACAAGGCCGTGTCGTAGCCATCAGCTAAATCGCCAGCAGAAATACGGGAGCACAGTGATCCCAACGTTATCGCGATCACCCGGCAGCACTCGCCCTCTCTCCCGGCCATGTGTGGAGACCGCTGTGAACGAGAGATTCTAATTCGTATCATGCCTATAGGAAAAGATCATAAATTCGTCCGGGGCCTACAAAAACCACCTAAAGTTCGGGGACGCCGGACCATCCTTCAGCAGCTTCGTCGCCACATCCCGTGCGTCTATGTGCACACCCTGTGCACGATTTCTCCTGCTGTTGTCGAAAACCATGTACGTGCCTAGGCTCCCCGCTAAGAGCATGCCGAGTGCGCCGAAGCAGGCAGTTGTTACCAGTGCCGCTGTTCGGTTGTTAGCCTGAGTAGGGGTGGGAATGGAATGGGGAGGTTACGGATGTAATCTGGCGCATCCTGTGGTCTGAAGATATTGGAGCTTACGACGCCCATCATGTTTGCTACCTACGATTTGTGTTAGTGGAGGAGGGGGGAGAAGGAGGGAAGTGGAACATACGGGTGTGCCGACGGAGGTTAGGACTACGCGTTTGCCTTCGTGGGCTATGTTGTTGCTGTCTGTGGGAAGGGTGTTAGTTTTGGGAAGTGGGGTAGGGGATCATGAGTCGTCACTCACACCATGTTGATAGGAGAACGCTGGGGGCGGAGATACCCCAGCACATCATGAATGTTGAAAAATAGGCTATTTGCTTATCGTGCAGAACGTCGATGCTGGCGTAGATTATGAAGCCGATCAGTGGGAAGGAGAACGCTGGGTGTATGAGAAATCCGTCATAATATTAATTTGTGAAGAAGGAGGTATACCCAAGGCAATAAACGGCGACCGCAGTCTAGTGAGGTCCGAAGCAAACGCTAATATAAGCAACACTAGTGCGCCGGTAATATTCGGCGCTTCCCCCTCGAAATCAGCTTGATCCCCTCTCCACGGCCCCAGTTAGAACTTACCAACAGTATAGAGATTTGTCTTAACAACGCTGTAACCCAACCTCTCAACAATCTGCGGCAAAAACAAGCTAACGCCCTGCAACGGCACACCCAGACACATTTCTATAGCCAGCCAAGCCCACACGACTGGCATCCTGAAGACCTTGAAGGACTCTTTGAGGTCGAATTTCTCATCGACGATGGAGGAACTATCCACCTGTATTCGGTAGAAGGCGAGTTCCTTTTCCTCGGGGCTCAGGAAGCAGGCTTTTGCGGCGCTTATTGGTAGGTACCAGTATGCGAAGAAGCTGAAGAGAACTGTGCAGGTACCCTCTATTATGAAGAGGTAGCGCCAGGCAGACAGGTGGGTTTTGATGTGGAAGACGCCGAAGGCGAGGAGGCCTGAGGGTCGTTAGTATGGTATATAGGGAGGGACTTGGAGGAGGGAGGGATATGTACCACTGAAGGCATTGGCAATATTACTCGCTGCGTAGAATATAGCGAGTCTACGCGCTAACTCTCCACGTCTGTAGAATGTTGTGAGATAGTAAATGACCTATATCACTCGGACACTTGCTTCAGAATTCTCTGTTTTTTTCCCTTCTTGGGTCAAATTCCTACCAGCGGGAAAAATGCACTCTCAGCAATACCCAATATTACTCTCACTAATCTACAATGTCAGCGCTTCGGCTCTGTTCTCCTAGGAATGGTCACGGAGCAAACCGGTCATCATCCCCTCAAAATTCTTGCAAGCAGCCCCCAACAATGTCATATTCCCGAATGTAAACATCATTATCGGTAGCACCCTGCTGGGCCCATACTTCTTTCCTAGCATTCCTACTGGTAGTGCGCAGAGCACATAGGGAACGTAAAACACTGATAATAGGATGTTGTACTGATTCCCCGTGAAGCCTAGGTCTTTTTCGAAGCCGTTGGTTTTGGCATTCCCCAGGTTGCCTTTATCTAGACTGCTCGCGCCATTGTCAGCACCTTTTGAAGGAGGGGGGTAAGGGGAAGTAGAGAAGAGGAAGCCTACGCGTTAAACAAATACATAACTGCCAATGCCGGCAGTAGCCTCAGGTCAAACCTCCTACACAGTGCTTTCTCAGCTTTCAAATCTATTACCCTCGCAATTAGTTCCTCTCTCCCCTCAACAATCCCGACCCCGATCCCTCCTTCCTCCGAGACGGAGGCAGATTGATTATTAGGCTCGGGCGATTTATTGTCCCTTTCAACCATCTTCCCAAGACAGAACAAAACGAAACGAAGGAATAAAGGGAACTCTCGCAGCGAGGGGTCTCATCAATTCTATTCTATTTTGGCGAGTCCAGGAGGGTGGGAGGGGGGGAGAAATCATTTTATAGGAAGGATGGGCTGACTCGCGCTGCTGTTCCACGGGCGGAAGGGTCTTTATGGGGACTGTTCCCCCGAATGTTAAGCAAGGGTGCATATCCACTTTCGGAAACGGTAGACATATGATATGATATCTCACTGTGCTGCCGGCGCGCCTGACTGCGGGTTTTGTTCGTTATTTACTTTTCTATTTGAGATAAGGGGTGGGGTTGGAGGGGGGGTGGGGATCGCCCTTATCGCACTCGCATACCGGCAGTGCAGGGGGCAGATTGGGGTGCCCATCAACGAGGCGCCAGGGGTTCAAGTTGCTTTGCTCGAGCAATGATCTGTGATTAGCGGCAGTATTTACCTGACGGACAACGCCGCGCCTCGCTGAGGGGTCCCCCGGTCTATTCGTACGCTACTCGTAGTTTTCTGGCATTTGTGAACATGGCTGGAGTTGCATTCCGCCAGAATCTTGAGGCTCCGACCGATTTATTGCCAATATGCAATGGCAGTCGTGTTCACAAACGGTTTCATGAGTTCGGTGATCATGTTGGGGTAGTTTAGGGAAGGGGCCTCGAATTGTCAGGAGCGAGAGGAGGTAAGTGGGGTTTATTCTTTCCTTTTTTCACACTTTTACCGCGGACATAGCTCCGGTACCTGGTAGTGCTTTTCTCCCCTCGTTTATAGACTATTGTGTTGGCCTACGGTACGAGTAAAGTATCTTTTTTTTTTTTAAAGTTATCTGTAACTTGCCGTAGTATCATAAATAATTGAGGATGGATGGTTGTCGAGATTTTGTTTTTTTGTATAGTAAATTACAGTGCGTCCTAGGCACCCATTCTGCCCCAACGCTTTGGATCTATAGCGGTAGGAAAAGTAACGTTATTTGTCCTTGTGTTCGGGTAGAATACTCGAGAACTGTCTTGAGAATTGAGGTATGATACTATCGCGGTACCTGGCTTATGATATCGGTACCGTTTAACTTTACTCCTTCTATGCTTGCACGGCCGCTCGAAGAATATAGATCGCTCCGGGTAGAGCACTGTGTCGGTACAGTGCAGTACAGTACAGCGCAAGAGAGTATGATAGTTGTAGATATTGTGACTGTGTTTCCCCCCAATGAATCCAGTGCCTAAATCAAAGATGTTCTTGATAACTTTTTATTCTGGGCACTGTACTCCCTACAAGTAATGAAGTATAAATTGTGATGGAAGCTTGCAAAGTTCTTAGAGATCTATCACCAAATTGCTGCCTGTATAGCACTTGCTCCTCTGTTATGGTTAATAGTTAGTTATTGCTCCTGACTGTTGAAATGCAAGGGAGGAAGTGGGAGCTTTGTGGGCATGGCTGGATATCTCTGTGATTGCCCATCCGGGTTTCCCAGGGTTTCAATTGGCTCTCCCACCTGGGCCATGAGCTAAGCATAACGGACTCGGTCCGAATGTGGGTAATGTCAAAATAGATCTGTCGTGGCATTAAGCATGATGGGTTACTACTTGTTTTGTTGATATCGGGCATGAAATGGGCTTTCAGCTTGACTTGCCCGGCATTTTTCGCAGGTAAATTTTATTATTATTGATTTTTTTCTGCTGGCCCTGTTAATGTGTAGATTGGTGCCAAGTCAGATAGCCTTTGCAAGAATTTGGCGCTTCAAGACTACACATCTTTATTTTGGGTACTGTCCAGCGGGAAAGGTTGTCATGGCTATCTCCTACAGTTTTCTTCACTGCCAAATGTATTGGTCGTGTTCAGAGCCAGTAGGTTACTATATTACAGAGGTGCAAAGTATATGTTTGTGGTGGGAAAGAGATAACCCTTCAGACGTTCCCTACGTTATGATACCATATTTTTTTTGAGTGAGGAATGATAGAAAAAGAGGTCAAATTAAAATGGAAATCATGCCTCGGAGTGGCGCTGGATTGGCTGTTACCATGTGTGGTGAATCCTATTAGCTGCCGTAATAAGCCCAACAGGGCTCCCGTATTTAACAAACACTTGAAGCCTTGAACAGATATAAGGTTAGCTGTGTCTGATACACTGGTTTATTTTCGCTCTGATTTTTAGCCTGGGAGGTCGGTCTCGCCAAGGTACCGTAATGGTTCTCCACGGTCTAGCTATCGCTTACCGTATGTTTTCAGCTTCCAGACCATGCTTTGAACATCCAGCTTGAGGCAGCTAAGGGGGTGCGGAAATGGTAGGGTAGCTAAAAAGTTTCGTGGAGGCAGGAGGGCTTTGGTAGGATTAGATGGCTACGATAGGGGAGCTTTTTGGTAGCTACTGGTATTTGACGGCTTTTCCAAAGGCATAATAGAGGAGGTATCATAGAGGATTGGAAGCTAAGGTCCGAGGCTCAATGAGAGGCCATGGGCTAGGGGCTTGGTTCTGCTACTGTTTTTTTTGCAGAAACCACATGCTCTTTCTAGTGGAAGGCGAACCTATTCTCCGTGACTTCTGGTCATAGTTTTCGCATTGGTACTTTGTAGGTACCTTATTTTGCAGGTAACTATGATACCTGTAGGTGCCTCCAATACTATCATAGCAGAGGGAATTTCAGGTCACGCGGAAGAACTATTATCCACCTAGTGCTTTTCTCTCCCACCCGGACTCGCTTGTAGTGTACTGTACCTTTTCGTACTCGTATGGCATACTGATTTAATGCTTAAGGGGGTGTTTGGTGCGCTCCCTAACTTCTGTATACTGTATGGTTAGATAGCCATCCCAGGCTCAGCCAAAAAAAAACGATTCTTCAATCTTGTGAGTGATTTCCCTTAAGCGTCAACCCCGCCAAGCCCCTCCACAAAGCTCCAAGTCTTTTTTTTTTTTTTCGTCAACCGCGGTACAGTACTCCCGCGGTTCCGGAAATCAAGATCACCTTCTCACCCCCAAAATGTCATCCCGCTCCCTGGCCAGGCCATCCACAGCTCTCCAGCAGAGCGCATTACTAGTCGCCCGTGCATCTTCCTCCTCGCAATTCCACACAACCGCTTCCCGACTCGGCCGCTGGGTGCGGGACCGCAGCAAAAACCGCGGTGTATCCGCGATTCACCGTCAGCCTAAGAAGGATATTCAGATATCCGTTTCCAAAGTTCCACTCCCGGAACCGGTCCTGGACCCTTCCAAGCGAAAAGCTGTGAAGGTCAACTCTGACCACGGGCTTTGGGGTTTCTTTCGCGAGAAGAAGGCATTGCCAACGCCAGAGGAGGACCATAAGCATGGTTTGTTCTGCCCCGACTTGCTCACATTGCTGAATGTGGGGGGCTATGGGGCTAATTGGTGTTGGGGATAGGACGGCCGTGGACGGTGGCGGAATTACGGCGGAAGAGCTGGGAAGACTTGCAGAAGCTTTGGTGGGTGTGCGTTAAGGAGAGGAATATTATGGGGACACAGAAGATTGAAAGGCAGAGGCTGAAGCCGGGATATGGCGAGTTCGAGTCAAATACGAGATATGGACAGGTATGTTGGAATCAATTGCTCACTCTGGGATCTTGCTGTTTTTTTTTTTTTTGATTGCGATGGAATTGGCTCATAACTGGGGAGAGTAGATTCGGGTTACACAGCGGGCTATTAAGCATGTCCTTACAGAAAGGTATTATGCATGGCAAGAGGCTCAGAAGATTGCTGCGAACGATCCCGAAGTAGACCTTTCCGGAGAAGGGCCGGCCTACCAGCCACATGATCCGGTCAGTATTATTGATTTTGGCTTTCTCGGGAGTGAAGGTCGTATGCTAATTGCCATGTAGGATGCGCTTCCGGTCGGAAAGTTGAGGAACAAGATAAGGTACAAGGGGCCACCGATTGTTGATCCTATACACGAGATACGCCAGGAATTAATTGCGGAATCGTCTACGGGGCCCCCGCAGAAGCCGCTCGCTGGGTAATTAAGTTTGGGGTGTCTTTGCGTTATAGGTGGTTAGATTCGGGTGCCGTACATACGATTGAGGTTGAGAAATGCTTGAATGCTGGGTGTATGGAATGGGGATAGTTGGATGGTGGGGTGTTCCGGCTGTCAAATTTTTTTGTTAAATCCTTTGATTGTTTAAGGGTACCATCTCTGTATACAACTACTAGGTTACGACATAAAAACCCAGTTCCAGCTGTTCAATTGTCTGCGGAATATAAGTATACAGGCCTGGATAACGAGATATCTATGGGTATGGGTTTATCGCCGATTGGAAATTGCCTGTCTATGATTCTAGAATCTAGCATATTCTTACGGTAATAATGATATTGTGTTTTATCATAGTGCCAGTAGTTTGTAACCACAAACCCTACGTCCCATACCCGCATTTATTTAAGTTATATACATTGCAGTGGTACGCGTGGGTCCGATTTCCCCGCCAAGAATTCACTAAAACTCGAAACCTTGGCACGCACTCTAAACCTCCCCCAAACTGAAACATTTCTCATTCGACAGCCAAAATTCCTTCTTCTCTCATCAACGCCCCACCAACCAACCGACTGAACCCATAACTTTCTTATCAAAGATCACCCCCGATTCCCTCGCATCATAGTCATCGCGCGTCTCTCGGTATTAGATCATTGCGGAAACCCGCACGTTTGTCTACAATGGCGGACATTCAGGTGTGTGCATTTTTTCCTCGGGGGAAAAGATTAGCTTCGTGAGGCGCTAATGTCGTTTCGGTGGATCACGTTTTTAGGAGCGTATATGTGGCTACAACAATGCATTTGAAGGTCTGCTTTCGCTGGCACCAGAGAATAAAGGCGATGTGAGTTTGCGATTGCTCTCTTTCTTTTCTGTCGCCTCGTCTAATCTTTCTGGTCGGGTGCTTGTCGTAGTCGTCACAATTGAAGCGGAAGCAGACGAAGGAGGAACCAAAGAGGGTCAAAAAAGTCAAGTTAGATTCTGGATTGGCCGCGGAGGGAACACCAGCAAAAGTAAAGGAGGGCGATGTGGAGAAGGGAGCTGAGGGAGGGGATGAGACCCGGAAAATAGCCAAGATGCCGAAGAAAAAGCGGGAGAAGAAGCCAAAGATTGTTGTTCAGAGTATCGGGCCTAGAAGGAGTTGGGAGGAAGAGGTTAAGGAGGCTTCGAAGACTGCTGGTGGGGAAACTGTGCCGGTAGCTTCGGAAACTCAGCCGAATCCGGACCAATCACACAATACACAGGAACCGGCGCTGTCAAAAGCTAAACCTGAGAGACCAGGTAGCGAATCGGGTAGCGACCTTGATATACAGATGGAATCTGGGGACTCCACTCCATATTCCCAATCTACAGCAATCACCTCCCCAGATGCCGTCGAGCTAGCACCCGGGAGAGCGCCTAAAGTCGAACTTGACGCTGCATCAAGAGCCGAGAAACGAGCCCTTCTAGTAGCACGTATCGAGGAACTGCGTGCGCAGCGACAAGCTGCAAACGGGGCTGGAGCAAAGAACCGCCAGGAGCTGATGGAAATCCGACGGAAAAAGGAACAGGCGAGAAAGGAACGGAAGAAGCAACAGCGTCTGGAAGCCAAGGCTGCGGAGGAACTGAAACGCAAGGAAGCGCAAGCAACGGTTGATGGAGAACGAGGGGCTCCCCCATCGCAACAGGGACAGTTGAAAAAGGGTCCTGCCAATAACTTTTCCTTCGGCGCTATCACATTCGACGATGGACAGGAACTCGATGCTACCCTCACAGATTTTAAGAAAGCCCGGAAGCCGAAGGGCCCCACTGATGTCCTTGGGCAATTGAAGCATGTTGAGGCAAAGAAAGCGCGTATACAAACGATGGCTCCAGAAAAGCAGGCGGAGATTGAGGAGAAAGAACTTTGGAGTAAAGCCCTTAAACAAGCTGCCGGGGAGAAAGTCCGTGGCGATGAGCAGCTACTAAAGAAATCGCTCAAGCGACAAGAACAGGTTAAGAAGAAGTCTGAGCGTGAATGGTTCGTTTCATCTCCTTTCTACACTTATATTATAGCATACTAAAAACCGGACAGGAAAGAACGCATTGAAAATGTCGCAAAATCTAGAGCCATGAAACAAAAGAAGCGCGAGGACAACCTTGCCGCAAGAAGAGAACAGAAGAAGGCCGGAAAGTCAGCCAAGAGGGGAAAATTTGGCGGGAAGCAGAAGGTACAAGTGAAGAAGAAGGGTGCTCGGCCCGGCTTTGAAGGGAGTATGAAGAGCAAGCCTAGTGGAGGAGGAGGTAGAGGTTCGGGGAAGGGGAGAAAATAAAATAAAAACTTCGTCATACTATTGCTTCTTTTATGTGGTTAGGGTAATGGATCGGGATGGGGTGGGCGGGGGTGGGGTTAAATAAAGGGAACCTTTTTATGATAGATGTCTGTTCTGGCGTGGTGGTCTTTAGTGGTGCTTAGGGTGCAGAAAGGGAGAGGGGGGGAACGAGTTCACGGTTCTTTCAGTTTATATCTTGTATCTATGAAACCTTGTACCTTGAATTTCTGGTTATGCTCTGTGGCTTAATAAATACTCTGAGATACGCGCTGCCCCTGGATGGATCCTCTCCGGTAGTGAAAACGGGAGGCGTCATTACCGACAATTTACGCACGGAGTTCCAGACTCTCGAGTGACATCCTGTGAATGTTGTTTACTGCAGTCTATTTCTAAGAGGTATCATAGTTGATCCAGACACCGATTTCCTCAAAGATCCACTTCCTACGATATGGTGTATAGGGTGGTGATAGTGACTGTGAGAGAGATTGTTTTGGGTACTCCTTCTCTAATGTAGACTGAGGGTGCTGTGCTTGAAAACTGTTGAGATGCAAGTATGGTGACATCTAACCCAAGTATAATAAACACCACGGGGAGAGGTTTGAATGGCTGTAGGGTGACTAGCAAGTAGCGCAGCGGTATATTGTGTGGAACAGCTCTGGGGCTTTGGTTGTGTATGAGCAAAGTATTATATGGTCAGAAACTTAGTTGTCCTGTTCGTATTAATATCTCCACCCTCCAAGCTAACGGTAAGGACGGACGTGTGTGTGGAGAGGGAATCAGGGACTCCCTATCCTTCCAAGACCGCCACACATCTCTCCCACCCTCCATGCATGTCGCTATTCCTCCTGTGCACTCCTATGGCAGCAGGGGAAGGGGAGACACATCAAGAGGGACTTCTCCTTGAACGACTAAATTTTCGGAACAATCAACGGCACTCCTGAATAATTCCGGGCACTCACGCCACTTCCGGAATCGTCCGCGGCATCCTATCGCTCTTCTATTACCGCTGATAGTAAATATCTGCGACATAACAGCTGATCATAGTTGGGACTCGGGGATCTGGATAGGCGGGGTAACTCCTACCTACCCCAATTTACATAGCATAGATCACCTAATAACGTTGTTCTCTGGAGCTGCTGTCCAAGATCCTATTCCGCCGATCGCCCTGGTCATATACTAAAAAACTTGGCCCTTGAGGTATTATGCAGTATGAATGGGTGCATAAACAGGGGTTAGGAAGTACCGCGAACAAACATGTTCTGTTCATTTACTGGGTGCTCACGAAGTACTATGGTTCTCGGAGCTGGGCTTTTTTGCTTGGTTAACCGTGTTGTACAAATTCTGAAAGAGATAGACAGACAATATGCATTCACCTCTGGGCTGGGGGGAACTATTGCACTTCTCTGGTGAAAAGTTAGTACCCGAGGCTATCATCTTTGGGGTGGACCGCCGTCGATTACCGGTGCGGCGGTTCGCATCTTGGGTTTTGGGGTGCCGGTATAGTGCTGGAACTCTTATAGGTGCGGTGGGCTGTAGAGTTGGTAGTATGGCTGTTGGCCTTGGAGGTTTCTTGACTGATTTTCTGGTGCCGTATAGGATTAGCATGGCCAATAGCTCCGTATGGGCGGTTATTGTCATTTTTTTTGACTGCCGAATGGATGCACGAGCGGTATGGTCACGGTATTTAACGCCGGGAGGGAGATTTCTCAGTACCGGTGATGCGGGACTAGTGAAAGTTGTATTAGGCTACTTATGGTATTAGGTAAAGGTATTCTCGCGCTTTGGATAGTATATTAGAGTGTATCAATCTAAGGGCCTGTTTGGCGGGAACGGTAGGCGGGTCACCTGTTCCGTTCGTGGATGATTTTTGCTGGGGAAATGGTTGTCTTGGCATCTTCAGAATGGAAGGAAACAGTTATTTGTATGGAGGAATGGAACGGTTCCATTCCCAACAAACAGGCCCTAAAGGTTTTGTTTTAGATAGGTTGAAAATAGTATAGTAAAGAGAAAAAAATAGAGTTTTTTTTTAAAAAAATTCTATAGACATAGCCCTAATTTCAGACTTTCTATGGTGAGGATTAGGTGGGCTGAATGGGTATATAAAGGCACCATCCCCCCAGTTTCTTCCTTCCTCTCTTCTTCTTCTTTCCTTCTCTCAATGTGACTGACAACACAACCACAACCACCATCTACCAAGAGGACTGGAAGGACAACAAGGACTAAAGAACCAGAAGGACTTCAAGGATACTAAGGACTCCAAGGACTTCAACAACCTAAAGGACAATAATCGAAGTACGAATCAGCAAAAATTCAACAATTCTGGACCAGGGATAGGAAGGGAGATCTGGATACCAATGGACTAGATTAACACTAGTAACTAAGGAGTTACTGGTTTGGACACCTTGTACCAGGTAGTCTCTGAGAAAGAGGTATTGAATTTTGTGAGAAACATATAAGTGATTGATCTTTTAATTGATTATAAACTTATATTGTGACTGCAAGATTTAGTATTTCTTTTAAAGAGCTATTTAGGTTATACTGTCTAGACCTGAAGCTTTTTAGTTACTGGTGTTACTAGGATGAGGTATGCCAGATAGGATAAAGGGGTTGGAAAAATAAGATGGGTTGGAGGGGTGGAAAGGATTAGAAGGCTAAAGGAGTAGGATGGAGTGGAGGATTAGGATGAGATGGAAGGTTGGAGGATGAGGATGAGCCTGAGGGGAAAGGTTAGAGGATTGGAGAAAGAGGAGGATAGAAAAGAGTTGGAGGATTAGGAGGAAGTGGAGGATGGAAGGAGGTAGAGGGCCAGGATTGTGGGGTATTTGAATTAGGCCAGAGGACTGGAAGACTAAAAGAACAACAAAAGTACGAATCAGCAATCCAGATTGGACCTTTCTCCATGGACTTTGGATCTTGGACTAAAAGGACAACAACAACTAAAAGGACAACTACCAGGATACCTTTAGGACCTTTGGATCTTAAAGCTTCCCCTTTGTTTAGTTTTGTTGTGTTTTGCTACTTTTAAGGATGGTTCTAGCTAACAACAGTGTGGGAATCTGAGGGATTTGAAAAAGTTACTTCATAATTGCTATCTCTATCTTCACTGATAGTTGATGCCAGGCAATAATATAGAGACTGGAGGAATTTGGATTTGTGTGGAAAATGAGGGAATTTGGATTTATGTAGGAACTGAGGGAAATCTGACTCATATGATGATAGACTTAAATCATTTATATATATTTCTATCTGATTGTCCCTTATTTTTATATGGGCTTTGGAATGGGATACATGATTGATAAAGCAATTCTGATGAGTTATATGAAGTTTTTATTTACTTTCCACCCGATTGACTGTATAGTGGTATAATGGAAGTTTTTATGGTATGATTGCTTTTAAATAACAGAAGTTATTTTATTGAATTTGTACCTTTTTTTAAAATAAATAAATAAATAATAAATATGTCTAGATTCAGGTATGCTCCTATCAGTTAACTACAACCTTCTAAGTATATTTATTTCTACTAACAGTTCAAGTTGCTTAGTACTATTTCTATTTTTCTAAAGGTTTATAAATATTGATTCATTCTAGCTATATTCTTCTATATAGAAAATTCTACTGTACTGCTTAGTATACTATTGTAATGGGAAGAGGCATGAGGGTTTGGGTAGACCAAGGCACACCACTATTAAGAGGGGTTTGGGTACAGGAAGGCTAGGTACAGGAGCAAGAGCAAGCAAGGTGTTTCAGATTCTGCGAGGCTCAGGGTTCAGGGTCAGGGTTTAGGGGTTCAGGTCTCTCGTAACCGAGAGAAAGAGAAAGGTGTATTTCCTAGATATAGGTACCCAAAGGTAAATACCAGATTGTGTAAAGAAAGTAAACTCATAAGGGGCACACCTCTTTATATAGATAAAAGAAATCCAATATTCCATAATCTTTCACTAGTTGCATGCAGCTGCGATATGTCTCTTTTCTTTCATCAGTTTCTGTTATACAAGCCAACTACCTAATACTACGAGACACCTGACCCATCTGATACAAAGGAAAACCCTATGCAGCAACTATCTCTTTCCGTTCCTGGTAGCTGTGACAACTCTCATGATAATTTATTAGTTTATTTTTATAGTCTTGAAGAGTATATTTTGACTTCAGATATACTATGGCTTTATGTATATATTAGGTTCTAGCTGTACTGTTTTTTATCTTTCATCTCCACTACACCTCTGGTGATTAAAAACTCAATACTATAGTTACTATCGTGGCTTTTATCGCTTAGCACCAGTACCCCCTCCCATCTCCCTCTATCTAGCCTCAGTGTAATGGACAGGGTCTGAGGGTTGGGTAGCCCAAGGTACACCACGATCAGGACAGGCAGAATTCTGGAGACAAGGTCTAGGTGCGGGGGTATAACTGAAGTGAGTTGTACGAGGTTCGGGGTTCAGGGGTTCATGGTCAGGGTTCAGAGATTCAAGGGGACGCCAGAAAGTAGAGGGTGTAATTCCTAGGTACAGGTGTCCAAATTATATCTAATTTTATTTATACTCGCCGTGCCAAAACAAGGCTTATGGTCAAGCGATCATCCTATCATACACCTACCATAAGGGTAGGCGGGCCTCCGGCGGACTATAAGCAGACCGGAACTGTCCTCGAAAGCAACAGCCTGGAGCCAGGGTCCCCACAATATACCAGCGCACTCCCCCAAATAACAACTACCATACAAAGCACAAAAGCCTCCAAGTCCCAACCGTCAAACACTCCCATGAACGAGCAGACAGGAAAGCTAAGTACAAGACCCATCATCGACCCCCGCCTCCCTCACCCCAACCGACAAACCGACCACCAACCCAATGGGAACAGAGCGACCGAAGTCCTTGGTCCCAGCAAGCGAGCAGAAGGTAGTTATGGCCTGCGACCATCACAAAAAATAAAATAAACCAAAATATCAAATCCGGTCTCAATACTGTCCCGTAAACCCAATAAAGCAAATCCTCCACAGCAGAAAATCCCCCCTACCAAGGCCTCACAGACCCTGGTCCCTCTGCGCCTGCCGTCGACGCCGACCCCTCTTACCACCAGAGTTGTCGTCAGGACATGCCGGCACCAGTCCCTCATCCTCCTGCACTACCACCTCCTCCACCAGTGCCCGCTTCCTAGCCTGTTGCCCTGGTACCCTCAAAGCAAGGAAGTCTGCCATAGAGACCGGAGTCTCAACAACATTACCCCTATGCTCAGGAGGGGAGCTCATCGCTCGCTGGGCCACAGGCGGC